AAAAATAATGTAATAAAATGGCTGAGATTTCATGTTAATATGAGACTGAGCTGTAGTTTTATTTTGTATAATCATTATAATTAGATATTATCAGTTATCTATTGTTATAAGAACCCTAACATACAACCACAGACCCTCAGAATCTTACAGCGAGAACATTCATCAGCTGACTTGCTGGAGTACCTGGGATGACCAGGCTGGGTTACACACACTTGTCATCCACCAAGCATGTACCACAGAAATGGCTCTTCACCACAAAAGGACAAACTCAATTCTGTGAGTTATTTTTAACCTCAGCTTGCATCATGTGTGCTAACGCTCCATTGGCCAAGACGAGTCACACAGTCACCCTAGAGTCAGAATTGGAGGGGGAGGATAACAACATGACACAACAAAATTTGTGAATACAGCTAGGTGTTACTATAGTTTGGATCTGGAATGTGCCCATGTGTTAACAGCTAGGTCCCTAGATCCTCTGCTGTTTGGACATATGCAACCTTTGGGAAGTGGGGCCCTGGAGGCAGGAGTTAGGCAATCAAGGCTGAGCCCCTGAAGGGCCAATTGGGAGCTTGGCCCCTTTCAACTGACCATGGACTGATACTTCCATGAGTGTGAGCCAAAATAAACGTCTCCTCTTTAAGTAGCCTCAGGAATTTTTCCTTTTTTCTTTTCTTTCTGTTCATTTGCTTTTAGTTTTGTGGTGCTGGAGATTGAACCAGGGTCTTCAGACTTGCTAGGCAAAACCTGCACCAGAGTGGCATCCCCAACCCTGCTTATCTCAGATATTTTGTTACTTACGAAAAACTGACCAATACAAGTGTGAAGCAATTGGGGCCATTTTTGCACACAACTTCAGTTTTTTCCTACAATTCTTTACATCATTTCTCACATGTAAAATAAACAGTCTCATCCCAGAGACTTCTAAAATCTGAAACATGCTATGTATCAGGCTTGAAATTAAAGATCTCATCATATCCCTTGTAAGGTTTGGCTGTAGCTACTCATTTTCCAGATACAGAAACTAAAATTCAAATAGCTACCCTCTACATATCCAGAATAAGTGAGTGAAACAGGGCCAAGTAATTGCAAAAGCATTATCATTTGAAAAATGTAGGAATGAAAGACACATAGCTGTTATGTGCCCATAGCAAGCCCAAAATCCCACTGGGAAAGTGACACCAAATCTGGAGATGGGTAGCGTCCTGTCCACAGACTCCAGTTCTGTGTCCTAAGTGGATTAGGTATCTACTGCTACACAACAACATTAGCACAGACTTAGTGACTTCAAAGCACACCCATGTATTATGCGTTTCTATGGGTGAAGAGTCTAGCATGGCTTAGCTGGGTCTTCTGCTTCAGAATCTCGCAAACCAGCAGTCAAGGTAGTGGCCAGAGCGGGAGTCTCATCTGAGGCATGACTGGGCAAGGATACACTTGTAGGCACGTGTGGTTGTTGGCAGGATTCAGTTGTTCATGGGTTACTATGACAGCCTCAATTCTTTGATGGAAATTGGCAAGAAGCTGTCTTTACCTCCTTAGCACATGGGACTCTCTGTAGGGCAACTCATTTCATTCAAGCCAGAAAACACATTATTACGGTCTACTAGGAGAATGGGAGTTATAATACTGTATCTCCAAACTCCAAAAGCGATGTCCTTCCACCTTTGCCATATCCAGTTAGAAGAAAATCCCAGGAGATTGTATAAAGCTGTGAGCACCGGAAGGCAGAGATCACTGCGGGCCACATCAGTGTGTCCACCACGCCAAAAGCAGCACCCCAGTCCACTGCTTTCCTTGGCTCTTGGTTTCTCCCTCTTGCATCTCCACATTTGTTTCCCTCCCAGAGCACTTCTATAGAGGGTGCCAAAAATAAGAGGTTCTTTTCTGTTTTTAGTACTTGGCATTGAATCCAGGGTCCTTGCATGTACATCTCCAATACCCTGCAACCCCTCTCCTTTTTATTTTGAATTTTGAGACAGTGTCTCACTAAATTGCTAGCTTACATACACTGGACTTGAACCAGTCTTAAGATCCTCCTACCTCCAACTCTCAGAATGCTCCGGTGACAGCATGTACTCATGTACTGCCACACCTGGAAAACTATGCCTGCTTAGGGCCTTTCCCAGCCTGCCCTTACAAAGTCAGGGGCCCTCAGCCTTTTATATTTCATCTCTCGAAAGCCAAATTAATACCACTTACATTAGTATAGCTCTCCAAAGGCTTGTGGTTTTTAATGTCTGATTGGAGTCTGCTCTATGTTTCAAAAGCTACATCCACAATTATTGAGCTCTTTCTCCCTAGCCTTCATCTCTGGTATCCTAGATGTGTCACACAGCTGGGGGACAACAATCTTATGATTCCCTAAAAGGCACTTTAACCTTTTGGAGATTATAGGAAACAGAAACAGGAAGGGTTGCTCAGAATAGTAGACCTCATGGTTAGCACCCATGAGGTCCTGGATTCAACCCTCAGCACTAAAACCAAAAGCAACCAACCAAATGACAACAAGCAGAGGTCGCAGGAAAGCATCTCCGAGCCCTTATCTTATTTGTACTTCACTTGGTAACCTTACACAATTTTTTTTTTAAACTTTTTATCGGTACTGGGGATCAAACTCAGGACTGCCAGCTTGCAAGGCAGGTGCTTATGCCGCTGAGCTAAATCCCAGCCCCTAACCTTACACAACTTAAAGGATGACAATATTGCATTTCCATCTTGCACCTTTGTATTTCCTTAAATTCTACTTGAAATCTGACTAGTTGTTTTCTGAGTAATAGCCAGCTGACATTTTCAAAATTCTGCCTAGAAATCTCATTCCTGAAGGCCAAATGTTCATTAGGTGCATTTGCCTTCTTCCAAGTAACCTCGGGAGCTAACCTGGGTATCATTTTTTCCAGTTTTCTGGAGTTTCGCAGCCTCTTGTGATAGTTTTATTCAGCAGTCTCCATCCACAGCCCAGTTCCAGGATTATGTTGTAGGTTTTTCTTTTGGCACCAGCTGCTGTGTCAGTTATCTCTTACGGTATGTCACTTCAGCCTGATACTGTAAAGCCGTATTTATTTAGGTCATGCTGAGGCTGGTGACTTAGGCTGGACTCAGCGGGATTAAACAGTCTTGATCTCTTGGGTTCATTCACATGTTTAGGACAGTCAGCTACAATGTGGTTGGCCCTGAAAGGCTTTGCTCAAGCAGACTTTCTTGTCCCCCGTACCCCTAATCCAGTGCCAGGGATGGAGCCAGGCCCTTTTGTATTTCCAGGCATACACACAGAATTTTTCTGACAAAAAGTAGTGAGCCAAGTGAGAATGAACCTAGGTGTGTGTGGTGTGGTTGTATTTATTTTGCAATGTTGGGGACTGAATTCAGTGCCTTTACAAGGAGTTACATCAAGTTCTTTTTATTTTTTTTGAGGTCTCATTGTCATTAAATTTTCCAGGTTAGGCTCAAACACTTGACTCCCACCTCAGTCTCCAGAGTACAAGGATTATGTGTGTGTTGCCACACCTAGCTCCTGAGTGCTTTTCTAGCCCGTGTTCACATCTCATTTTTCACAAACTCATTGGCCACAAGGCAACACCTAAGATGGAATGGCACAATAAAAACCCAAGGCAAGGGACATGCCAAGATTTGGGTTACTCTTTGGCGACCACCACAGAGGTCAAGGTTTCATTTGTTTCATAAAAATCATCTGAAGTAATTCTTCCTCTCCAGTGTCCTGGAATAGATTACACAGTACTGGGATTAACTGGTCTGTGAAGATTAGGCAGAATTCCCCACTCAATCTGGTGCCTTTTTGACAGGATTAGTTCTTTGATAATCATTTCTATTTCCTTTATGAAAACTAGTCTATCTAAACTTTCTATCTATTGGAATCCCTTAGTAAATTGCATTTTCCTTGGTCATTGCCGATTTTCTCTAACTTTTCAAATTTATTTGCACAGAATTATGCATAATCATCATTAAGAAAATTTTTTATTTCAACATTTTCAGTAATTTTTTCTGGGGCTTTCTGTTTTCTCCTCCTATGTAAGTTACCTAGTAGTTTGTCCATTTATGATCAAAATACTATTCATTTATTCTATTTTTCCCCGTCTTGGTTATTTTTCTCTCATTGCTGAGACAACATAGTTGATGCCCAAAATGAACATAGGAGAGGTTTATTTAGCTTATAGTTTCTGGAGGTTTCAGTCCATACTCAGCTGGCTCCAAGGCAGGGTGGCATGCTCAACATACTCATGGTAGCCACTAATGAGAGCAAAAGGGGTGAAGGGAAGCGCACACCTGCGTACCTCTCTTACATTGTTTGCAGGCTTGCAAACCCACCCTTGGGCAGGTGCAGCACTCACACCAACAATTCCATCTCTGGACAATGAACCAATCACAAACTCTAGATTCAACCATCTTCCAAAGGCCTGCCTACCATGACCGCATGAGGATTTGGGGGAACAAACACAAACTGTAACATTCCCTTTACCAAATGTGTATTTTTATCCTCCTTATTTACTTTTGTCTTTTTTTTCTGAGATGAACATTTTTTCTTTCACTTATCAGTTTTGATATTATCAACTATATTTTATTTAATTTTAATTATATCCCATAAATTTGTTATTAACCTTCTTGGGAAGCTCTTATTTTACTTCTCTTTTGTTCCAATAGTAGTTTTTAAGAAGTTTTTCTCTGGATAGGACTTTGTTTTTTCAAGATAGAGTTTTACTATGTAGTTTAGTCTGGCCTTGAACTAAGTAACCAAGGCTGGCCTTGAACACACCAGTGATCCTCCTGCCTCAGCCTCCTGAGTGCTGGGATTATAGGAGTGTGCCACAATGCCAAGCTTGGATGACTTTTTTCCTTTTGGTACCAGGGATCAAACCCACAACCTCAAACTTGCCAGGCAGACACATACCACTGAGCTAAACCCTCAGCCCTTTGTAAGATGTTTTAAAAAGCCTTTTATTCATTTCTTATTTTATTGCATGTGATTAAAGAAGAGTTTATTGCTGTCAATTTGTACATTCATGTTTTCTTTATGGTATCATAACAGTCAATTTTTTAAAAGAATAGATTTTTTAATAAAAGGTCAATGCAAGTGGCAATCCAAATATACGGGGAATGTTTACAATTATAGTAAAAGACGTAATGGCATTAATCCCCCTCTGAGTCCTCTGCCTTGTTTCAAACACACTTACCCCCTTGTTCTTATCACCATCTGAAGTAGTTCTAGCAGTCTTTTTGTGTATCTTCATGAGGCCTGATAAAAAATAATGTAAATGCTGCTGGCAAGTGCCATCCAATGATGGAAAGGCAGATTCCTTGACACATTACAGTGTCCTCACCTACCTTTCCCATCATATCTGGCACCATGCAATTTCTGATTCTTCCCCCAAGTCAAAATAGTCACAAGGGGCTGGGGATTTAGCTCAGCGGCAAAGCACTTGCGTTGCAAGCAGGCGATCGTGAGTTCAATCCCCAATACCGATTAAAAAAAAAATAGTCACGAAAGATGAACATTTTCACTTGAGGTCGTGCTACTAAGGACACTGACATCCTGAAAGAGGATTTCTAGAATGGCTTCAGAAAGTGGCAAGAGAGATAGGATACGCATGTTTGAATCAAGAGAGAGTATTCTGAGGGAGACTGATGACAATGTGCCTAATTTTTTAAAAAAATTTTAAGTGTCTTTTAAAAATCCACCTCATGTATATTTGGAAGATCTACTCTATACAAACTACTATTATGATCACTTATATCCTTACACAGTTTCTGTCTTCAGTCTTGGAGATTGATGTGTTATATTTCCTTACTAATTTCTAACTTTCTACCTTCATTTTCTGGCAATTACTTCTTATACAAATGTAATATGTTTTGACAAGCTAGAAATAACATGCCTAAAGTAATGAGAAAGGAAGGAGAAAGAAAGCACAAAGAACCCTTCATGGCAATAAGAGGGAGTCAGGAGTGTCATTTCAATGTGACAAACCTCAGTTGAAGCAGCCACATCATAAGCAGCATGTCTTCGTTGAGAACTGTGGCTGTTGGCATTATAATGTTCACTGTCTTTCCTTGAATTCTGCCAGAGATAGATGCTGTAACCTTTGCATTTTGTGATTTCTATTTTTTATAGTGTGTGGTTGCTTATTCCCCTACTTTTTTGCCTTTATTTTATTGTCCTTACAAATGACAATACGTTGGCATGTAAGTCAATCTGAAATTCTTTTTTGTTCGAAGGATAGATAAGTCCTCTCAAGTTTATCAATCTGACGCATGCTTGGACTTAAGTTCATTTTGTGTGTTTCTTCATTTACAGTATTCGCTCACTGTGTGGTCTACTGCCTTTATCGTTGTTTATTGGCCATCAAGGGATATCTGCATTTTATTTTAGTGGTTGTATCATTCATATTATACTATTATCCCTATTTATGCTGCACTGTTCCCTTTGATAGTACCAAACCTTTGAATACTTAGTTCCTCCCTTTCAGTATTTGAGGTCTCAACTATTTGACCTGTTCACTTTAATATTCTTTGATTCCTATTTCCTGTGCAGCAAAGAGCACTTGGCACTTTCTCCACTCCCTTCCCCGCTTTTCTCCCTGTCTACTACAAACAAGCACATACTATTTAACACTGCTCATCCATCCTTCTCCTAACCGCGTTAGTCTCAGAGCCACAACTATGGATACCCAGTGATCACCTGGTCCTTTTGTTCAAGTTTCCCTAATCATCTCAATAGAAGCAGCCCATCTTTCAGTAGAAGCCTGTTTGGTTTAGGATCTATGATGTTCCCCAGAAGTTTCACGTGTTCAGAGACTGGGCTTTGGGATGGTGATTGGCTCTGGATGGATCAGTCCACTGATGAGCTTATGGTTAGGAGCCAGAGTTTGGTTAGAGACTCAAGGGTGTGAGCTGGAAGAGTGCATCTCCCTCCCTGACCCCTCCCTTCTCTCCGCTTCCTGGCAGCTATGACGGGAGCAGCTTGGCTTCGCAGCAGACCCACTCACTATGAGCCAACCGTGGACCCAAACTTCTGCAGCTGAACCAAAACAAATCCCTCCTCCTCTAGATTGTGCATTTCTAAGTGTGTATTTGTCCCAGAAACAAGAAAGGAACTAAGGAAGAAACTGTGACTCTAACATTCCCTGAGGTCTTGCACTATTAAAACTTTCCTCTACCCTTGATATTTAAGATAGTTTAACTGGATACAAAATCCTTAGTTCTCACTTTCGATTTTTGCCCTACTGCTATTTCAATTTTTTAGAAGTCTTATGCCAACCTTGTCTTTCTTCCTTGGGGGAACTAGATATTCTGGCCTAGAGGCAGTTACGGCTTATATCTAGCTGTCCCCTCAAGGCTTTAAGTAGTCAGAGATGGGACTTGTTCAGAAGTGGCTGGGTCTGAAGTGTGCGATGCTGGCACTGATTCATGGAGCAATGCCAGGCTCCCAAGGCCTAGGATGAAGGGTGTGAGCGCTGCCTGCTCCACACTGCTCAGAGAGGCAGAAAGATGCTGTTAAGATCCTTTGCTTGTTTTTGCAGTCTTCTGCTTGCCATGAACTATTTCTCTTCTGTCAAGTCACCCTGCCGTGGAGTCAGCTGATTAGGGACTAAAACCTCTACAAACTGAGAGCTAAATAAACCTTTTCTCCCTTAGCGTGTGGGTGTTGGCTATTTGGTGTCACCAACAAGAAAAATAGCTAACAGAGTCCAAGAGAATTTTTCCTTTTGCTTTTTTTTTTTTTTTTTTTGTACTAGGGATTGAACACACGACTGCATGCTTATGAGGCAGGCACTTATGCCGCTGAGCTAAATCCCTAGCTTCCCTTTACTTTCAAAGTATAATAATTTGATAGAAGTATCTCAGAGCTTATCATTCTGTGTCAGTTTTCCAAGTTAAAAAAAAAAAACACACATCTTTTTAAGATACTTTCAGGTCTTTCTTACACAGTTCAGACACTAGCCCTGTGCTGCTGTCTTACCTTCTGTCTTAAGGAGCCCCGGTGTCACCAGCATGGTATTTTCTCTGCCTATTTCTCATTTCTGCCTTCCTTGCTTGTGCCTAACTGTACTGCAGCCATTTCTAGTCTCATTGCATATTTAATTTATACCTGTCATGATTTCATCTTTCTGTTTAAATTCTTTCATATATTTGGTCAGTTCTCTTTTCATGTATGCTTTTTTTAAAATTACATTTTAAGTTTTTGAATTTCTCTGGCCCTGAATTAAGGCCAGCAGCTTCCTGACGCTGTTGGTTTCAAGCAGGAGCCTAAAGAGATGTCTTTCTATGGTCTGTTGGCCATTTCACAACTTAGGCAGTGAAATGGTCAGTTCATTAGAAAGAAACAGCTTGAAGCAACCCCTCCCCCACTGGGGAGCGGCTGTGAGCGTGGCAGGCTGTGGCGGCCCAGGACGGAGCCACAGGCGTTTACTGGGACTCACACCAGGAAACCAAGCAATCCCTCCCCACTTGCCTGTTTTGTTTTGTTGAGCTTCAGTATACATAAAGGTGTGGACAGCTATTTTGAGGAGAATGGCAGACTCTACGACAGCCATTAATGAGTTCCCTATTGTCTGATTTTGAAGACCTAAAACGCCTTCCTCATTCAGTTCAGATCAGTTTTATACTATGTTGTTTTGTATGAATTCTCCGTATGTGAAAACATGGACAACTATTTGGAAGAACACAAGAGACAATATGATAGACAGTGAAGATCTCAGGTCGTCTAGCTTTGAAATTTCTATCTCTTACATTCCTGTCATGTTCTATTTTGTTGTTTTATTGTGTTTAATTTTACCCCCTTTAAAATAAAATTTAAAAAAAGAAAAAAAAAGTTTTTGAATTTCTGACCTATGGTATTCTTTCATCTTCACAACTGTCCGATTTATTTTAAAATTCATGTTGGAGAGCTATGATAATTTTTCATGGTCAATGATGTAAAATCGAACAATGTCTAGCCGGGTGTGGTGGTGCACACCTATAATCCCAGCACTCAGGAGGCCGGGGTGGAGGATTTCCATGAGTCTGAGTTTAAGATCAGCATGGGCTACAAAGTGAGCTCAAGGCCAGCCTGAACTATGTTGCAAGACCTTGCCTCAAAAAAAAAAAAAAAAAAAAAAAAAAAATCAAAGAATGTCTAGGAGGTGATAAGTTGTTTTCTTCTGAATCTTGAACTTCCTGTTTTATCTGGTAGGCTGTCATCTTTGGATTCTTGTTTCTTCTTCTTTCATCCCCCAAGCCTCCAAGGGACATGACGCCCTCTCAAGATCGCTTCATCGTTATCAGAAGCGATGCTCTGGCCACTTCTTCACTTTCCACAAGCCACTTCTCTGATCCAAAAGGTCCCAGACTCATCTATACCATCTTGCCGTGCTGAGTGAGATGATAATAATTTGATTTAATTGGACTCTCGGGTGCAGTGAGGGCCTGAGGCAGAAGCAACACCTGGAGGATTCTGCAGGAGTCAGATCACAAAGGACTCTATGAAAGCTTTTGCAAAAATGTGAGCAAGGAACAGAAAGGTATGAACTAAAATAGGAGGGGTAAGAGGAAGGAAAAAATCACCATCTATACAACTGGAAGGCAATTAAAACAGAATTACAACTTCTCAGCTGATAAAAGGACTCCAAGATAAAAAAGAAATCTAGAATTCAGAAAATTCTCCCAAAAGAGTAACACAATTTCATCCACAAGAGAATCACAAAGGAGAGCAAGGAAAGCCCAAAATGGTGCCAGCTGGGGATGGCACAGGCTGGCTGTGGGCAGAGCTGAGGCCAGCTGAGGGAAGCATGGTGGGACGTGGTAAGGTACAGCAGGTGGCTGAAGGGGACAGTGACCATGAAAAGAGGGGGGAACGATGTTCCCAAGACGGAAGGCGGAGAGGGAGGGTGGCAGACAGGAAAGGACTTGAGGAATGTTTCACACAGGGAGATAAGAAGAGGAGAGAGGCGGAGGGAGGGCAAGGTGTGGGAGAGAAGCGGCTGGAGGGGACAGGCTGAGAGAGGCTGGGTTGCAGGATCAAGATGACTTGGGAACGAAGAGGCCTTGGAGCTGAATGGCCAGAGAGTCAGGGCTGAGGCCAGGGGCAGGAGAGGGCTCGTCTCCCCACTTCAGTTGATTCTGATCCTGAGATCCGCTTTCATTCTGCCTTTGAAATGGGGAAAGTCACAATTTTTAGAGGACATTGCCCAGACTTGGTATTATTCTGCCTTCTGGGAAGAAAAGATGTTCTTTTGCCCCAAGGCAAAGGCACGATATGCTTCAGGATAGTCTTCAGGAAGATATGCTGAGGCTGGATTCAGAGAGGCCCAGGACAGGGCAGGAGCACACTGAAGAGTCCACATGGCCAGGCACAGGTGCTTAGGACAGGGGAGAGAGCGCCTGCTGCCCGGTGCCGCATCTCCACGCAGGATCAGTGAGTGTGGAACAGCAGTGGTACTTGGGCTTGCAGAATTCATTCCAGAGGGCCTCGGGTCTGGGACAAGATTTTCTGCTCAAGTTTGGCATACCGGGGGAGGAGGGCCTCATAGACCTGCAGGGGCAACAGAATCGGCAGCTTGAAACAGGGTATACGAGAGGGCCTCTGATTAAGGCTTGTGATTTAAAATTTTTATATTCCATTTACTTGCAATTTAACTACCCCCTCCCCAGGCAAAGGAAAGGAATCATCAGTACACAAAAGAGGAAATACTACAAGCGTTATAGTGATACATGCTTATAATCCCAGCTACTCAGGAGCCTGAAGTAGGAGGATCAAAGTTCAAGGCCAGCCCAAGCAATTTAGTGAGATCTTGACTCAAAATTAAATAAGAGCTAGGGTAACAGATCGGTGGGGGTCTGCATCAAGGTTCAGGCCAGCCTGAACTACACAGGGAGACCTTGTCTCAAAAACAAAAGAAAAAAGCACCTAAGAAGGGCTATCTCACTGCATAGCTGATGAAAGTTGGCTGTGCAACCCCTTTGAAAATCAACTTGATTTTATTTTCTGTATCAAAGGTTCATGGCCTGTGACACAGTTATTCCACTTCTGTGACACTCTTTCTCCTAAGTAAACAGTCTTAAATGCAGTGTCCTAAGTCAAAGGGTGGTGGTTAGGGGGTAATTCATAAACCCAACTAAATATTCAGATTTATGAGCTGTGACTGAAAAATATGGTGGATGTTTAAAAAGTTTTAAAATTTACTATAGTAAATTATCTTAGTGTCTTTAGTTCTGTCATTGTGACTACCCTGATGTTCTGAATTGACCAAGACTGTTTCACTTTCATGGTCATTTTGAGTTTGGGGAAGAGCCAAAATTCATACAGGTCCAGATCCAGTGAATAAGGTGGGTGAGGACATACTGTCATGTTTTTACAAGACTGCCTTTGCACTGGACGGCACTCGGCAGGTGTTTGATTGACCCCCATAAAGACACTCACCAAAGAAACTTCTAGAATTGCTTCATAAAGTGGCAAGAATGATGTAGTAAGTGTTTTTAAAGTGAAAGGGATCCTTGTGAGGAACATTAAAGACAATGTCTCATTTACTAGAAGAGATTTTTAACATTTAAACATTCACCCTATTTAGATCACTGTTCGTAGAAGCTGCTGTGGGCCACACCTTGGCACACAGCACAGCAGAAGAGAAAGCTCCAGCAGCCTTCCCCTCCAACAGCAGAGCAGGTGTGGTCCCCACAGCTGCTGTGGTCCCCACAGTTCACACGCTGTCCAGGGGAGGGTCCCTTCCTTCCAGAATCTCCCTTTGCACAGTGCAGCTCAAATGCCTTCGATTCCTCCCTCTAAAGACAGCTGTGTGAGGTGTTTGGAGCAACTACAAATGTCCTAGCATCACCCAGAGCACAACCCGAACAGCACTGACCAACAGCACAGCCACAAGTATGAAATGTGCTTATAACAGTAAATATCAAAAGCTTCATACAAAAAGGAATGTTAAATATCATAGGAATAATATTCCTAAGGGGCTGGGGATTTGGCTCAGCAGAGTAAGCGCCTGCCTGGCAAGCATGAGGTCTTGAGTTCAGTCCCTGGTACCAAAATAACCACAACAAACAAACAAACAAACAAACAAACAAAATAGTAATATTTCTAATTGGTTACCTGTTGAAGTGACCGTATCTTGGGCACACTGAGTTAAACAAAATACACTATTAATTTTACTTGTTACTTTTTATTTTGATAAATGAAACTACCAGAAATTTTCCAAGGCCATCTGTGGTTCACATGATGGTTCAATGGTTCTCATTGTCCACTGATGCCCTAAAGAACCACAAGGAACCTGACAAGGGCTGATGTCAAACTACTGGCTGACACTGCCTTCAGATTTCCTGTTAAAGCCAGCAGCATTTGTGAGATCCAGCTGATAATCTGACTGTTCTGCACCATTTTCTTGAAATGTCAAAAGAGTAGAATCTCTCAGTGGGGCACAACGATTTTGACAAAAGTTAAAAAGAAAAACTTACCTTTCTGGGGAAAAGTTCCTAGTTGGCTCTCATAATGCACATGGTATGGTAAAATGTGACGGTCACTCACCTGCGAAGCTCCTGGGGCTGGTGTGGCAGCCAGTCTAGGGCCTGGAGTTGACTTTACAACCTCCGAAAAGACCGTGTCTGTTCCACCTGCAAGGCCTAGAAGGGAAAGATCACTTCACATCTGTACATGTTGCAGATGAAGTGGTTGATGGCAGACAGCACAAAGGATTACAGCGGTGAAACCAGGTGTCTGCTCTACAGGCAGTTACAGGGCTGTAGCGCAGTCAAGGTCCTGGATTCAATCTCCAGCAGGAAAAAGAAAAAAAAATTCCAAAACTCAAGGTAATGGCTGCACACCTCAGCAAATCCACTAAAGATCACTGAATTGTACACATAAAATGAGTAACACACACACACACATAAAATGTGCTGTACCTCAATAAAACTGCTTTAAAAAGCAAAATTTCAAATGCTGGCCTCTCTGTAGCACGAGCCAGCCCGTCCTCCCTCATGTCCCTCTGTGCCCTGCCCCTCACCACCTTCTAGCCAGCCAGGGCTTCTGTCAACACTTTCTGCCTTGCAGCCTCTTCACTGTGGGCTGCTTTCTTCCCGCCTTTCCCGTACCTGTTCCCAGGTCAGTGAAGAGGCCCTGCTCACCCTCCAGGCCCAGGACCCTCTGCTTTCCCGTGGAGCATCTCTCACAGTTTGCGGCCACAGGCTCAGGTGACTCTTTGCTGACATTCCCTCCTTGCCAAGCTGCAGACTCCACAGATCAGCAGCCCAGCCCTGGTGCCTGGGGCACTACCTGGCATACAGAAGGCACTTAATAACTACTCGCCAAGCCGACAAGGAAAGAAGGAAGGCTGCCACGTAAGCAAGGAGACATGATGTATCTGCAGGCAATCCAAACTGCGATGTCAGAGTGATAGAGAAACACACCACCAGAAGGGAAGAAGGCCCCTGCAATGTGAGGGTACGCGCTGGAAAAGGCCAGCTCAGAGCGGTACAGGATCAGCTGTGGGTGCCCAGCTAAGAAAGAGAAAAAGACAGTTCCCTCCCCACTTCCATTTACAGACCTGCTGCAAAGAGTGGCTAACACGCCTCTGGGGGGCGCTGGGGAGCTTGGGTTTAACTCTGGCCTTGGTTTTTGAAGACACAGCAAGGCAGGACCCTTGGTACCCTTTGGCAATTCCACAAGCATAAAAAGGGAGACAAGAACAGAACACAGCACAGCACAGCACAGCACAGCACAGTGAGGTCTCTCTCTACCTCTCTTCCCTATAGTGCAGGAAAAGTAATCAGCAGATCCTGGCCTGCTCTCGGCTACACTGTAGGCCAGTTAATGCAACGGTACTTTCTTTTTTTTTTTTTTTTTTTTTTTTTGTTTTTTTCATTTTTATCGGTACCAGGGATCAAACTCACGACTGCCTGCTTGCAAGGCAGGTGCTTATGCCGCTGAGCTAAATCCCCAGCCCCTATGCAACGGTACTTTCAAAGTTCTCAGGAGATGTATTCTGAACTCAGTTGTTTATCTAGCTGTTCTCTGGATGATACCACAAAGACTTGCTGGAGGGCCAGGGATACAGCTCAGTGGCACTAGCATCCGCCTGGCAAGTGTAAGATTCTGAGTTCAGTTCCTCCCACAGAAAGCTAATGATACATCATCCCACAACAAAGACCTGTTGGTCAGGCCTTAAAATCATCATCTGCTGAAGTAAACTCCCTCTTACAATATTTATTTAGGTTGTGCAGGCCAATGAAACTAGTACAGAGAGCTGAGGGTATGGCTTTCCTACCATGTACAAAGAAGCTGGGTTCGATCTCCAACACCAAACACAAACAAAAACCCCAGCACAGAAACAAAGGAGAAAGACACTAAAGCATGGTAGTGTACACTTGTACCCAGCACTCTGGGACACTGAGGCCGGGGGACCACAAGTTTGAGTAGAGCCTCCAAAGGCCCTGGGTTTAATCAGAGTATGAGAGAGAGAGAGAGAGAGAGAGAGAGAGAGAGAGAGAGAGAGAGAGAGAGCAAGGAGTTGAAAACAATAAAGCCAATATGCTATAAAATGGGGTTAAAAAGTAACTGGGAAATAAATTCCGCAGTGGTCGTGATGCAGGAGTAGCGTAAGTGGGGGCAGGGTGTGTGGAGCAAGTGTAGGGGAACAAAGGAGGCTAATTAGGAGAAGTTTACATTCTCTGATGAATTCACAACACTGAAAGAAAAATATTATTTAAGTAGTAAACTGGAAAGTTAAGAGTAAACATACAAAGAAAAGAACCATCAGAATGGGAAAGACAAAGCCCTGACAGAGGCACTGGTCCTCAGATGCTCTGAGAGGCAAGGGACAGGGCAAGTGGCCCAGGCGGAGGAGGCTGCGCTGCTCCCGGCCAGGGTGTGGATGGCACTTCCGCTAGGGCATGGAGTTCCCGCCAGGCCTCCTCCACCGCCGGGGGCCTTCCGGGAGCTGTCCGCGGTCCTGGACTGCTTGGCTCTGCAGTCTCACTGTTTCAACTTCTTGTTCTTGCTGAAAACACAACTCCGGACTTCACCTACCGCTTCTGCTCACAACAGGCCTGACTCATGCTCACACCCCTCAAGCGCACTCTTTCTAGTGTGCCTGTGTAGAGCACGACCGACCAGGTCTCATTTAGTCCATTCCCTGTCTCCCTAGCTCCACTTTAGAGGAAAAAGAAGCAGAAGGCATGCACGGTTCTCACCTGCTAGGAGGATAAAACGAGGCTAAAAGCCCACGAGTCCAGAGTCCCAAAGACCACAAACACCCCAGTCTTTCCTTTCCACCTGCTCAGTCTGGCCAGTGCCTCAGCCACTTCCAGCGACTGCTACGTCCCAGCCACCAACCTACCATGAAAAGCTCGGTATGCGGAGCCCACACAGGCAGAGTTAGCAGTGTCCATGACGTACACAGGGGCGTCGAACACATCTGCGAGCACCTGGGAAGGAAATAGGGGTCTTAGTGCAGTAGTCCCCTCACAGAGGGAGCACAGGCACTTTGGGCACACTTCCCAGGCTTGTCTACCTCACATCTCACCGTCCCTCTGCCCAACCTCTGCTGCCTCAAGATGCATACATGGAATGACATGTGTATTTGGGGTGTAGCTACATGGTAGAATGCTGACCTAGCATGCATAACAGCCTGGGTTTGATCCCTAGCACCAAAAAAAAAAAAAAAAAGAAAAAAGAAAAAGAAAAAAAATGGTATATTTGACCACATTAGGATGACCTGGAGGAAGAGACCACAGCTCTGTGACCTGCAGTGGGGGCAATGCTATGTCACAATCCAAACTAACAAGGGCACGTTTTGATGGGAATTATGATGAAACCTTCCAATTATGAAAAAAAATGCACGCGTGCAAAAGGAGGACGCATAAATGCACCTGGAGGAGTGCACTAGTCTGCCAAGACACTGGGGCAGATGCCAGCGGTCCTGCCCCTCTTGGACCAGGGCGCCCCTTACCAGCTGCTGTGTGCACAGAGTCTCACAGCACCCTCTCCTCACAGGACTGTGCCGCTGAGCCCCCTCACCCAATGCACAGCCTGCTCCGCAGTTAACTCACGCCCCAGAATGACCCATGTGTGGCACTAAAGCAGGCTCCAGCCAAGACCCTATCTTGCCTTGTATCTCCTCTTCTGCCCTGTACCAAGTCCCTCACCCCCTTCTTCCTGGAAGAACTCTCTCAACAAACCACTTACAGAATTCCCACTTCCGGTTCCGCTGCTAGAGAAGCTGGCCTAAGACAGGCCTGTCACAACTCAGTTTCTTTTTTGTTCATTTTTTTTTTTTTTGAGACAGCATCTTGCTGTGTAATTCAAATCAACCTTGAACTATGTAACCCAGGTTGGCCTCTAACTTGCTCAGTCCTCCTGCCTCAGCCTCTCAAGTGCTGGGATTATAGGTGTTTGCAAACAGCCAAGGCAGTCTCTACAGGCCACACCTAAAAGTACAATGCCCTCCTCAGAGGACAGATGGCTCCCCGATGTGAGAGCCTGTGCGCCACACATCTATGGCTGACTCCTCTTTTGTTAAATATTTCCAGCATAATAAAGAAACAAAAGGGCACAGACAAGTCTAGCTCAGTGTTACAAGAGGTGTGGCTGGAAAAACAAAGTTAAACTGGAAGGGAGATGCTTTCGGGACAAGAGCACGACATCGGATATTAGTGAGTTCATCACAGGAACAGGCCCTTTCTGAGTGACTGCAGAGTCAGTGCTGTCCCGGGAGGGGACTGCGTGGGGCAGGCCACAGAGCCCTGTTGCAAGGGCGATGGAACCTGCTCCCTGCTCACGGAGGCACTGCGCTGCGTTCTGCCTCCTGACCATGGGCACGGAGGCGATTCTTCCTGCTGCACAAGACCACTCGGAGAGGCAGAGGAGCTGCCACCACCCACCTGCAAGATGTCGCTGTTTTGAGATGCTCCTCCAGTGGCCAGAATCTTTGTCTTGGACACTACAAGGGAAAAGAAAGACAGGGCATGGCAGTGGCAGCTCCCCAGGGAAGAAGCTGCCCCAGAGCTTGTCTGGCAGGCCAGGACCTCCAGCTTCCCACCAGGCCTGGGGGACAGCACTGGCTCTCCAGGACCGACAGCTTTGGTTCGTGTGTGTGTGACACAGCTGTCCAGCACCTCTGCTGTCTTACTGCTTTATTACTTCTTGAAAAATCTCCCAACAAGCTAAGCATGTTGTATATACCCCAAATTTACAAGTATTATTGTTATTATTATTATCTGCAGCACTACCACTAAATTACATCCACAGTATTTTTTTTTTAATATATTACACAGGAGCTCATCAAGTTGCCCAGAGTGGCCTGAACTTGCAATATTCCTGCCTCAGCCTCTGCAGTAGCTGGAATTCCAGGTGTGTGCCACTGTACCAGACACAAACAGCATCCTCTACAGATTCAGAAGCGTTCTCTTTAAGACTGGCATGCCAGCCAGCCTCATAAAGGCCTCCTGGCATCCACATCCTCAATGAGCCGTGTCTCACACTTGGTCAGTGGATCTTTGTTACCAAGAGAAACCCATGTGAGTCACAAGACGTGGACTCCAAGAGCGGGTCAAACAAGAGAATAAGGTTCTAGTCTCACTCTGACTTAGATCACTTTCTCTGATCAGTCACTTGGAGGGAAGCTAACTGCTGAGTCATGAAGTCACTCAAGCAACCTGAGGGAGGGGTCGACATGGTGAGATGCAGAGGCCTCACACCAACCCCACGCTGCTGTGCCATCTCGGAAGTAGATGCTCCACCCTCCATCAAGCCTTCAGACAACCTCAGGAGTTACCTCTAACCAGAGCCACTCAGCAGAGCAGGGAATGGGCCCAGTCACAGCTACACGAGAGGCTGAGGCAGGAGAAGCATGTGAGCCCAATGGAGTTAAAGACCAGTTTGGCCAGCACAACTGAGTCTCTTAAAAAAAACCAAAAACTACGGATACTACAAAGTCACAATTATACAGTCTGTCCCCCAAACAGATGAATGAACCAATGGAGTTGAAAAGGAAGTAGAGAGGTCCATAGAGACACGGGAACTTGATAAATGATGAAGGGGCACTAGAGGTCATGGGGGAAATGAACCATTGTGCAGACGGGATTTAGAAAACTGGATCAAGATACTGGAAAAAATAAACTGGTCCACAATTTACATCACATATAAAGTCTCCAGAGGAATTGAAGTCTGAAATGTGAAAGATAAAATTATAGCATTAACAGAAAAACATGCAAAATGGAATTTCTATAACGTCAGAGTAGGGGAAAACCTGTTAAGCAATATTGCAAAATCATGAAATGAAAAACGGATGGTTTAGATTTAGTAAAAATTCTGATTAGCTGTTGACACCATAAGGTGAGCAAACCATGGAGGGAGAGGAAGTGGGGCGGGGCAAAGAAAGAATTAAGCTGTGTGACGTGGCTGGATGCGACGACACACGCCTACAGTTCCAGCACTTGGCAGGCTGAGGTGGGAGGGCGGCCATGCATTCGAGGCCGCCTGGGCTACACGGTGAGTTCAAGGCCAACCCACAGCAAAGCTCTGCCTCAAAAACAAAAAGCCCAAAACATGTACTGTGTACACACCAATCGCCCCACGATGAATGTAATCACTGTGTACTGCAAATGCGTACTAGTGAAAATAAATTTTAAAAAAAGGAAAAAAAAATCTCAAAAGACAAAATAAAAATTAAAAAAGAATAAATTTTACTGTTAAAAAACAGGGGATTTAGCTCAGCGCACAAGCACTTGCCTGGCATCTGTGAGGTCATGAGTTTGACCCCCAGACCAAAAACAAAACAAAACAAAACACCAAATGAGAGATGTTTACAATACAGAAAACTGACTACTTGAAGGGTCAGCCTGCCCCCAGAGCCTGTTCGTGCTTGGGTTGCAAGAAAATAAACTTCCCAGGTGGTCAACCTGTTTACACTTGGCTTGCAAGGAAGGAGGTTTCCAAGAACTGTTCCAACCTCAAAAGTCAACCGTGCCCAGGAGAGTACCTAATGATGACCCTGTCACACCTGCTGCTTGAACCGGGCTCACCTGCAGAGCCCCTACCAGCCTCCCCAACAACCCTTAAAAACCCTTTCCCCAAGCCAAATGGGGGCTGTAGTGGTCTGCAAGGCAGTCCACCTCTCACCCAAGAAAGCTTCTTTCTCGAGGCAGAATGTCTGGTCTGGCTTTGTGTGAGTTCTGGTCCATCATTGCTGCCCAAACCCGGGAGGGATGCCTCGGTCAGCCGACCAGTCCCGACCAACCCTGCGTGAACCGTGAGCCTCAGACCGCTTCCCTGCTGACACCAGCATCCTGACATTTCAAAACTGTTAGTGAATGCATTTGTGCCTTTACCTCCCTCCTCCCTCCCCAGCAACCCCGATCCCCGTTTCTGTCCCTCCCAGCCTCTCCGGGACTTCCCAAGCACTTTCCCCTGTTGCAGTTCTTTGCCGGAGTGGGTCACTACGGGGCTCTTTCAGGCGCTTTCCAAGGCTTCATGCCCAGCAAACTTGCCTTCTGCACTTTTGTTTTCTTCTTTCTCTTTTTCTTCCCATGAAGGTAACAGTCCTCTGTGGATGGCTTGTCTACGCTTCTGGGCTTCCTGCCCCTCGCTCCAAAGTCGTGTTGACATGCCAAGCCGTTCCTCCCTCTGCGCTCGATCCCCGCTCTGACCAGGGACGCCTGCTTGGAGAGTTTGTGTTCCTACATGCCATTTGGGACCCCCTATACTCAATCCCCTCTCTGACTGGGGTGCCTGCTCAGAGAGCCAGTGGTCCGAGGTCCCTCTTAGGACTTTCTATGGACAGTGCTTGCCTTTAGCCTCCTCTCTGTCTCCGTGCCTCTCCTCGGCCTGGTCCTCACTATGGGAAACAATCAGTCCTCTTCCCCTCCGCCACACCTACATCCCTTTTGGGATCGTCTACAGATGCTTCTTGTCCTCAATCTTCTCTCAGTCTTGACATCGCTCCTCTGCCTCACTTTATCCGTGGACAATGTTCCCTCTCCTTCCCCCTCGGCCCACGCTTCTGTCCTCATTTGTCCCAAGTCTGTTCTTCGCTCCCCTCAGCTTCATGGAACTCAAACCCAAAGGTCTCACATTCCTTTGCCAGACAGCTTAACCCCTCTGTAAACAATAGATCAATTTGTCCCCCAATAATACACTTGACTTTAATATCCTCCGGGATCTACATATTTGTCAACGCAATGGGAAATGGTCTGAGGTGCCCCATGCCCAAGTTCTCTTTGCAACCAACCTCCTTTCTTCTGCACCGTCTTTCTCAGACCTGTCAGCCCTCTGCACTGCCAAAACCCTTATCCCCACTAAAATAACCCTTACCCCTTCAGCTCTCACCCCGTCACCAGACCCACAAAGCTCCCCTCTGCTGCAGTCTTCTCCTCTAACCTACATTCATGTCGTCCCCCCATCCATTCTCACTTCCACTCTGTCCCCACGACAAAAGATTAAAGTCCCATTTTATTTCCCAAGCAACACCAGATGTTTAGACTTTGGTCCTCAATCCCCCCAGGCATACCTCTTAGCTATGACTTTCCAGATATGACTTCGGACAAAAACAACAAAAACAGGACAACCTTTAAAAGGTTACATTCCAGGACAACCTCAAAAAAAAAAAAAAAAAAAAAGCTGCATTGTAAGCTGAACTCCAAGGCCAACTTCTGGCTCCAGAGGCTGCAGCACCAGTGGCACTCGGAGCTCAAGATAAAACACAGGACAAAAAAAAATCTAAAAACCCAAGGCCCCTCCCCACCATGCTTCAAATGTGGCAGAAAAATGACCCTGGACCTGACCTGCCCTGATCTGTGCCACGACTGGGCACTCGTCCTTTCTGCAACCAAGAGGGCCACTGCAAGTGCAACTGCTCTGTCCACCAGACAGTGGTGAGTCATCAGCACCTTCCCTGCCCTCACAGGATGGGACACTGCCGCTGCAGACACGTCACAATCATCTGAAGAGGATGGAGGGGCGCAGGGCCACGGCCCCACTGAGGTATCGCGCCCGGAGCCCCACGTCTCACTGGACATCAGCCACTCATAGTGCTCTTCCTGCGTTTTCAGGTCCATGTTCCCAGTCTGCAGTGTCCGCTGTGGGAGTTGACAACCAGTGTTCCTCCCCAGACAAAACCTGTTCCCTGCAGATTCCAAGCTTTCTCTTACACACAACTGTCTTACTGTCCCAAGCTGTCCTGTACCTCTTTTTGATTAAAATAAAACCACCACTCCAGACACCCGATTTCTCCTATACCATCTCTCTCCTCACAGCCCTCATACTCGTCTCATCCATCATGCGCGACTGACTCAGCCCCTCCCCTCCTTCCTGCTCCACCCTGCAGTCCAGGCCACCTCCAATCCCACTCATGCCACCCACGTTATGCTGTTCTAATTTGCCTCAAGTAGCCCTCAGTCTTCCCTTCTGTTCCCCAATACCCTGTAGCCCCTAAACTTCAATGGAGGCCCAAACCTATAATCTGCCACTTGTTAATTTGTGGGTTTCTAAAAGTCACTCACTCACCTTATGACACTCCTATTCTCCCTATCTGTAAATCCAAAGGCTCCTATCACCTAGTCCAACATCCCAGAGCCATTAACAATGAGATAATCTCAATTCTCCCAGTGGTGCTTGTTGTAGTTTGGCATAACTGATGCCATCTTGTGCCTTGTATTTGACCCAGAAGAGTGAAAAATTACTCAGGATACTGTTGGGAGCCGCGGCCGAGCCCGGTCGCCTTACTTGGCGGACGTGAGGCCTGTAGGAAAGAGCAAAGCCTGAGCTAGATTACCCCTCCCATCGAGTGTGCTAAGATGGCACTTATCTCCTGCTTCCTGCTTGGTAAACAACCCGCCCTGTAAGATCTCCTGCTTCACAACCCGCCCTGTAAGATAGTCTGCCTAGCAACAACTGATGTTAGCCAATCAGCCCGCATCGCGCGCTTTGAACTGGTTGGCCACT